TGACGCATTGTGATAGAATTGCATCGTGGCATGTGAATCGTGATTCAAATCGAATCGTGTCTTCTTTGGCAATACCCATATCTGTTTCTTCAAGTGCTTGTTGAGGGTTTTTGGTTTTAAGCGTACGCTTCCTCCTGCAGATCCATGTCAACAGCCCGGCCATGTTCAAGAAGATGCCAGAGATCCTGAGCTACGTGACCACCGACCGCAGGACCCAGATCCACGCCTGCCGGCACCCAAAGGTTCCATTCTACATCTTCATTTCATTAATTTAGGGGCATAAAAACCGTGCTGTTGTGATTAAAATCTCATCTGCAAAGGGTTACCAGGGCAACCGCGATGCTGAACCTTTGTTTCCTGCTTTTTCCGTTAGAATCTGCAGAACAAAATGTTTGATTTGAAGGGAGCAGCCAGCCTGGCCACCAGAGTTTTCTAAATCAAACTTTTTTAATGAACGTATCTCTATACCCTCATAGGAGGCCTTCCAGCTTTGGTGTAGAGCTCACTGTAATGCAGCCTGTTACCTAAAGTCTTGGTGATTAACAGTATTTAATGGCTGAAGACATTTAGTCAAGGCATCCTACATACAGAACCTCTCCATAATCAAGCAGATGGAAACATTAGGGCCATTAAATAGTAATAAAACTGATCTGAAAAAGTCTATTTTTGTTTAATAGTGCCTAACTTTACGTTTTTGTTTTGTTTTTTCTCCCGTTTGTGTTAAATGTAGCCTAAATTATCTAATTTTCATATAATGGACCAGCAGTCATGTAAAGACATCGGTCAGTGTGCGTAAATAAGTGGCCAAATTTAAAACTACATCTTTGAATAAAAAAAAATAAAAAAAAACACAGAAAATGTGTCATGCTATACTATAACTACGGAATAAGACTGTATTTCCCAAATAACCTTAAAACTTTCTGTTGGTAAATGTTTATCATAATGTGTCACAATAAATTGGATATAACTGTTAGAAATGGGAACAATTTGAATAGGAATGCTTTAATCATTAGTATAAATACTTAGTTTATATTTCACTTATAACAGTTTTATAAAACATCAACTTTTAACTTCAAACAACAGGATGGGACTCTTATCTTTTATTTCAAAGTCTATTTTTCTTTCGCCTCTGATGACACAAACAAGTCTTGGTTTCGATTTCCAGTTTTTTTTTTTTTCTAAATCAAATACAGTTTTTGCTATTTTATTACACCTTATTTTAGGAATCTGGATTGAAGATCTGTGGTTTTACAGTTTCGCTCTTTGTGAAACAAAGTATTACACAAAAAAAAAAAAAAAGGCAGGAAAAATTCATAATATTTATTTTTCACTTGATTTTTGGGGCAGAGATGAAGAAAAACATATAATTTCTCTTATCAAGACTTTTATTCATTTGCCTTTCAGGGCTTCCGTATGTCTTGTGCTTTAACTGAACTTTTTGTTTCAAGGTTCATTTATATACAGCTTTAAGTCGCTGGAATAAAATCATCACCCCTCCACCACCGTGCTGGGCTGTTGATATTAGGCGTTTGTTACCGTTCATTACAGCCAAGCATCTTAAATTAAGTCTCATTTCTCCCCATGTGGCTCTTTCTGCAAACCTTAAACCTGCCCTGCTGTTTACAAATGTTGGCTTTTATTTTTAATACCCTTGTCTTTTCTGGGAGAGAATCAAAGTAGCTCCAGTTTTCTTCTAAAATGTTTAACATTCGCCGTGTCTTTGTGTAGGATGAGGAGTTTTTCCAGGGAAACAGGCTGCCTTGTGGCTGCACGGCGCCTGACGGGACGCCGCTCCGCATCATCAGCATCAAACCGTCCACCATGTGGTTCGGAGAAAGAACAAAGAAGACCAACGTCATCATAAAGTAAGAAAATACCTTTAGTTTAATAGAAAATAAGACTTTCAGTTTGTCTAAGGGAAACTTTTCCTCCAGAACAGGGACCAGTTCGTACAGAGCCTGTTTCAGCTTCCACTCCTCCTACTCAGAGGTCAAACTTTTGCTTTATTTACACATCGGAGTCACATTTTCTGTCTTATGATTAAAATATATCTGAAATGTTTCCAGTTAAATGATGTTTATAAAGTTATTTTCCCAAAACTGATTCTTCTTATCTTCAGATCAAAGACTTCCTGTCCTACCTGCAGCCCGTCAACATCTTTCCGAGCGTCGTCCCGATTGGACGCACGCTGACCGAGGTCACTCAGATGTGAGTCAGGTTTGATTTATTTATTTATTTGAAAGTGTTCTTCATTGGTTTGATGGGATCAGTTTGAAAGGAACAGGTTTGTTTCTTGAGTTGGTGCATCCAGAAACATTTTCCATCCTTCCGTTCGTCTCTTTGTCTCTCAGGTTTTTGCAGGTTTCATATTTAAATCCTTAATTGTATAAAAAAACTCCTGCATTAAATCCATGATAATTATAATTTGTAAAAATCTGTATTAGTGCGACGGAGCATTAGGGCCAAGCTAGAGATTTTTTTTTATTTTTAACATGAGAATAAAGTCATAACATTATGAGAATAAAGTTGTATTTAATGACAAGTCTGACAAGAATCACTTTCTTCCCTAAAACGAGAAATGTCGAGCATCATGTGAAGTTATTCTTTGGCATCGTTTTCACAAATCAGGAAATATTAAGTCTTTCAGCATTAAATTATCACAAATTTGAAACGATGTTGCAAACGACTATGAGCTGGAAGCTTTCTTTCTGAAATGGGCTGTGGTGAGAATGACTTCTCGTAATTTTACGACTTTAGTCTCGTATCTTTTCAACTTAATTCTCTTAATGTTCTGATTTTATTCCCGTTATATATGACTTTAGTCTCGTATCTTTTCAACTTAATTCTCTTAATGTTCTGATTTTATTCCCGTTATATATGACTTTAGT